CCTTTTAACCCCTCGGAGGCACCGCGGCGGATCATGAGGATCACCTGGCGGCGCGTCCCACCCGCCTCTCCCCCGCTACCGTGCAGCGGCCGCCGTGCTTAATTTCCCCTTCATAGCGTGTTGGTGTCCTTCGCAGCTCTCCTCGAGCTCTGCACTGGCAGTACAGCCGTTTTCCTCATCAAGTTTTACATTGGGCTTTGATTTTTTTAATATTTTTTTTTTCCTCATCAAATTTATACTGATATCCAGTAGCACTGAAACACTGAAGACTTATTATAGGGATCACCCCACCTCCGAGGAGGGGAAGTCAGTGACACCGTGCTGTGGATTGGAAATGAAAAAGCAGGCATTAATGTCAAAATGTCAGCTAATTTTCAACGCCCAGCTGAGAGGCCACATCCAGCTGCAGTGCTGGGTTTCTTTGCTCTAACCGTGCAAAGTCCCTCCTCAGCCGACTGAACACCAGAAGCCTTCCCACAAAGCCCAAGCCACCACGGATCACAGTTTATTGTGCTAATGCTGTGTATCTGACACGAGATTAGGAGGAACAAAACTCCTTTGATAAGACCAAGCTGTTTTTAAGTTACTGGCTCAAGCTGTTTTTAAGTTATTTTAAGGTGTCTCTCAGGTTTTGCTCTTGATAACTCTCGCCCTCGGGATGAACAACCTCAGGGATGTTGTGGAGGGACAGGCGTACATTCTGCTCTTTCGCATCCCTGAAGAAGCCAGAACTAATTATGTTACATGGGATGGTACGAGATGCATACGGATCTGTCAGAGTGGTTTGCTGAAAAAGAATGAAGGGTGAAATACATGGATGAAGAACCGGGTGATTTCCTGGAGCCACTGGAATGAGCATCAGAACTGCAAACTAAATAAAGCCATCCAAACCTTCTTGAAACTGTCCTTCCCATCCCTCATATCTGGTCCAGACTGCCTTCACTGCGGATGCTCATAATCTTTAATGAGTCATTATTCTTCAACAAAAATGTTCATTTATTGCAGGTGTCATTGCTTTCGGCTCTCTGGCTCACCGGAGGAAAAGTAATTTTTGTAAACCTTGTTCAGTTTCTGGATTTGCATTTTTCATCTCTGTGTTAATTGAATAGGTTTATCTCTTCATGGTCGCTAGTGTAAGAGAAAATGCCATTATAAAATGATAGATATAAAATGAAGACAGTACAATTCTGCCATTATTTTTGTTTATTTATTTGAAAGGACCTAATTTTATTTATTTGAAAGGCCTGGCTTCCTAAAGGAAATGTAGCTTATGCCAGCAGGCCGTCTGCTTGTCGGTTTCTTCAATCGTCTGTCCGTCAGTCTCCTTTTCTCTCCAAAAGTGTGTCCTGAAACCATCGGCTGGTTAACTGCGGAGATACCTGGACGTTCCTCTCTTTTTGCTCCAGCTTAGCTACCAGAAACTGATTTAAAAAAAAAAACAAACCAAACCCAAAGCATATCTTTCACTATTCAGTTCAGCTGCTGGGCGGGGGACTTAGTGCCACTCCAGCAGCCTAAGCCTTTATGGCATGGAGCATCGCATTAATGTTCCTTATTCCTTGCTTGTGAATCCAGTGGGGTTTTCTGTAGCCAAGAGCAGAAAGCAAACTGCTGTCTCAAATCCTGCTCCGTGAGCTCTTCCCATCCACCCTAGACTGCCCAAAATACAAAGCATTAGAGGACTTGACAATGATTTAAGGTGAAGACATAGAAAAAAATGCATGTGAGAGCACCCCAGATTAAATTATACAGCGATGTCTTAATACTTGGTCCTTCACTGCTCCGTAGGCGCCAATGCCTCAGTTTTACCAGAGCTGGGGTTTGCAAATGGTCTTCTGTTGAATTCTCTTCCAGCAAGCACTAGATTCGCTTTGCAGCCCCTCTCTGCTTAATTTGGGAGGTTAGCAAGCATGAGTAGTAACAAGCACTGTGGCAGGATCATGAGGACGATATAAATTATTTGCTACTTCACGCAGGCTGTTGGTTTTGCTCGAGCCTGGACGTAACGGTTATGTTAAGTCAGCCGAGTGCTTCCCCTTCAAATCCCATCTGGTAAAACATAACTGCTGCGCTTCTCGTTTAAAGTGCAGTGATTTGGCACCGTGTCATTTTCTGTGGCTAAATGATGGCTAGAGTGGAAGGGAGCAGGGAAAAGCAATGCATAGTTTAAGATAATTGTAAACATAGGCTCTGCTTTTCATACTTTTTAAAATTCTATAAATATGTGGAGGGTAAGAAGCAGATGAAACACAGAACGGATGGGTGGAAGATATCCAAACCAGTGTTTGAAAGCACTGAGCTGATGCTAGCTTTGCTCTCTCAGTTGACACCGCAACTACACCGATGTGTCTGTGCCGCTGCCTTCCTTGGCAGTGAGAAGGGAAACACGTTTTTTGTTTGTAGGAGACACAATGGGAAGAGTCCCCAGCCCATTCCCCCTCCTCTCCATCGAGCGAGCGGTACCGTTTCATCTCAGGCCGAGGAGGACAGTTTGTGCGGGTGCCGCCACTGATTCCAAAGTACGGGGAAACCTTCCAAGTTGCGGCGTCACCTGTTGCCGTACCATCCCTGCCGCCCTCCCAGTCACGGCTGCACACCCTCTTAGGAATATTAAGACAAGCGAAAACGTGAGTCCTCGGCTGTGTTTCTGCAGCAAAAATCTCAGATAATTAAGGCTTTTGCAACTAAAGGCTGCCCCTTTTTCCTGACCCCGAGGGGTTTACAGTATTTGTCTTCCCAGTTCTTGAGAGATTCATTTCCAAAAGCCTGCAGATTTCTGCAGAGACCCTGTTTGGGGCTGGTGTAATGTGACGGCAACTATTGGCAGTGACGTGTACTGCCGAAACCCTCCTCCCCTCCAACAGGTCGGAGGGAATCCCTGGCTCACGCCGATGTGCAGGGACCCCCAGGGACATCAGCCGGCTGCTCAGGGGATGGTTTACTTGTGAGGACGGACGCTCCCGGGCCAACTTAAAAACAAAACCAAGCAAATTAGAGCACACCTTAATTTGGCAGGGGAGAGGTCACAGCAGACAACCGTGCAGCAAAGCCTGGAGACCAGCCTGCGGGACAGGGGAACACTGGGATCAGAAAGGGTTTCCTCTGGGGCTCTGGATAAGTCTTTAATTGTTCTATGCCTTAGTTCCCGTGTGGGAATGACAATAATCTTCCTTTGCCTGCTTTCCTTGGGCAGGCTGGAGTTTACTTGGGGCAGGGACTGCCTTTTCTTACAGTTCTTACTGGAATCGCTAACCCTAGCGAATATTGCACCTGCAGGAAACACGGACATGAGTAAGGGGTGAGAGGGAGAACAGCCATTTTCACTCAAAGATGCTCACATGAGGAATTATACAATATATCTATGTGTGTATATATATCTCTATATATAGTTTATTTCTCACAATCCTGGTAAGAGTTACAGGTGTATTGGGAATCATGTACAGTTTCACAGCATATGGAGTGGCCATACAGCTTCTGATGTGAGTAACATACAGTGTGTAGAGAGCACACGTTTCCAACCCATCCACCCACCATTCATACAATGGGTTTTCAAAGCTAATACTAGATTCAGCTACGTAGAAAGCCTGGAAAATGTTAGGGTACAGCGTTGGGTGTCGTACGACACTGTCAGTCACAATGGGACAAGCTAAACTACTTTAATTTTCAATCTAGTATTTCTAGTCTACCTGCATTATTGCATTTATACGCTTTTTTTTTTA